TTTTAATATGGAAAATAGCCCAACCATTGTATATTTACCAGCCTTTCCAGGTGATTCTGATCCACATCCGTATTTGAGTATCATTGTAGTAACTTATTTGCATAGTTACCTTCCCCTGCTTCCCGCATTATCTTACTAATTTATTTGTCTTTCTTGTCCATTTTTTCAGATAACACAGATATCCTTGTGAACCCTGTGTCATTTCCTAGTAGATACTATTCTTTAATTTTTCCATTTCTATTATAAAAGTTTAACTTTTCACAAATAGGAAAAAACATTTACCATTTTATTTTCTTTCAGATCTGGAATCAATGTGTGAAACCAAGTTATTATCTCTAAAGAAGGAAGTTTATGAAATAGAATTATGCCAGAGGGAGATAATGGGACTTACAAAGCATGGCCTTGAGTACTCCAGTTTTGGAGATGTTTTGGAATATAGAAGCCGCCTTGCAAAACAACTGGGATATCCAAATGGGCATTTCAGTCAAGAAATATTCACTCCGGAATACATGCCCACATTTATTCAACAGACATTCCTTACTCTCCAGCAAATAATGAATAATGAAGACAGACCCTTTGAATGTAAGAAATGTGGAAAGGCCTTTAGTCAGAACTCACAATTTATTCAACATCAGAGAATTCATATTGGTGAAAAATCTTATGAATGCAAAGAGTGTGGGAAATTCTTTAGTTGTGGTTCACATGTTACTCGGCATCTGAAAATTCATACTGGCGAAAAACCCTTTGAATGTAAGGAGTGTGGAAAGGCCTTCAGTTGTAGCTCATACCTTTCTCAACATCAGAGAATCCATACCGGTAAGAAACCCTATGAATGTAAGGAATGTGGGAAGGCCTTTAGTTATTGCTCAAATCTTATTGACCATCAGCGAATTCACACCGGTGAAAAGCCTTATGCATGTAAGGTATGTGGGAAAGCCTTTACTAAAAGCTCACAACTTTTTCAGCATGTGCGAATTCATACAGGTGAGAAACCCTATGAATGTAAGGAATGTGGCAAAGCCTTTACCCAGAGCTCAAAGCTTGTTCAACATCAGAGAATTCATACTGGTGAGAAACCCTATGAGTGCAAGGAATGTGGCAAAGCCTTTAGTAGTGGCTCAGCACTTACTAATCATCAGAGAATTCACACTGGTGAGAAACCCTATGATTGTAAGGAATGCGGAAAGGCTTTTACTCAGAGCTCACAGCTTCGTCAACATCAGAGAATTCACGCTGGTGAGAAACCCTTTGAATGTCTTGAATGTGGGAAGGCCTTTACTCAGAACTCACAACTTTTCCAGCATCAGAGAATTCATACGGATGAAAAGCCATATGAATGTAATGAATGCGGAAAGGCCTTTAATAAATGCTCAAACCTTACTCGACATCTGAGAATTCACACTGGTGAAAAGCCCTATAACTGTAAGGAATGTGGGAAGGCATTTAGTAGTGGCTCGGATCTCATTCGTCATCAAGGAATTCATACTAATGAATAATAAAAATTAAAGCCCCTGTCACCTTCCTCATTTTTTAAACCAAAAATCATGTCTGATACTTACCCTCTTCCACAGTTTTTTTAAAACTTTGTATTTAAATTTTGTATCCAATGTATTTCACTCCAGGTTATAAATTCGGAGTCTAAATTGACATTCCCTCTCTCCTCCAGTCACATACCAATGCCAGCTGTTCTGTAATTCTTTGGTTCATTGTTTTGTTCTACTTTCTTGGTGACACATTATACTCTTGTTTATATTTGCTTGTGTTTTTAGGGCAATCTTTTCTGATCTGTGTATTTGTGTTTGCACCAGTATCACACCATTTGAATTGTGTGACCTTTAATATTTTTAAATTCCTTGTGGAGGTTTAACTTTTTGAAGTCGGTGTTAATCTTTTTATTTTATTATTATTTTGTATATTTTTTGAGACGGAGTTTCACTCTGTTGCCCAGGCTGGAGTACAGTGGCGTAATCTTGGCTCGCTACAACCTCTGCCTCCCGGCTTCAAGGAATTCTCCTGCCTCAGCCTCCTGAGTAGCTGGGATCACAGGCGTGTGCCACCACGCCCTGCTAATTTTGTATTTTTAGTAGAGATGGGGTTTCTCCATGTTGGTTAGGATAGTCTCGAACTCCTGACCTCAGGTGATCCACCTGCCTTGGCTTCCCAAAGTGCTAGGATTATAGGCGTGAGCAATTGCACTTGGCTTTATTCCTTTTTTATTGAGACGGAGTTTCGCTCTTGTTGCCTAGGCTGGAGTGCAATGGTGTAATCGCGGCTCATCACAACCTTTACCTCCCAGGTTCAAGCGATTCTTCTGCCTCAGCCTTTCAAGTAGTTGGGATTACAGGCATGTGTCACAACACCCAGCTAATTTTTTGTATTTTTAGTAGAGACGGGGTTTCACCATGTTAGCCGGGATGGTCTCCATCTCCCGACCTCAGGTGATCCACCCGCCTCGGCCTCCGAAAGTGCTGGGATTACAGGCGTGAGCCACTGCGGCCTGCCTTTTTATTTTACAAATTTACATTTTTAATTGTCAAGCCAAAATCACAAAACAAAAACTTGCTAGAAAGCCAAACTTAATTGTAATCATACTTATAGATGGCTACTCTCAGTTTGGTAGAGAAAATCATGCTATACTGTGCTTTTTTAAGGAAGTGTAATTATGATATGCATGCTGTACCTTTCACTGCTTTTATCATGCCAAAGATTTCATGAGTGCCATTTCAGTAAATATAAATTTTTTTTATTTTCATGATATATTTAATAACTTTAAAATGACTATTCCCGTTATGGTTGCCTCTGAATTTTTGCAGCTATAAAAGCTGACCTCGGCTGGGCACAGTGGCTCATGCCTGTAATCCCAGCACTTTGGAAGGCCGAGGTGGGCAGATCACAACGTCTGAAGATTGAGACCATCCTGGCTAACAGTGAAACCCTGTCTCTACTAAAAATACAAAAAAGTAGCTGGAC